GGAAGGTCATTGATGAAGCAGATGAAGATGGTCGGTTCTCCTCTACTCAAGATGCTCCCCATTCTTTAGGTACAATTTCATTGGCTGAATCTTTTTGGACAAATGCGAGTTGCATTGAGTTCTTTCCAGAGATTCTCGCTGCAAGAGTCATTGAGATTTCACTTAAATTACCAAATGTGCCTCATTAACTACTTACCTTCCCCAATGGCATTCCTCACATCCCATTCTAGATCCGTCCGACATGCACTGTTCTTCAAACACCTCACCACTTAATGAATAGTAGCCAAAGGATAGACATTCCGTCGCTTACACCATCTTTAACAGGCCAATGTGCATCCAGACGAGCACTGCCAATCCAGAGCCGACCTGTACGGTTTCTCAAATTTGCCTTGAGACTAGCAGACAGGGGAAAATCATTGCACCACTTTGGGGGCAAGGATCTGGAGGTGCTGCTCAGTAGTGTTTTGCAAAATGTGGAACTTTCGCTTCTCCCAGGACCAACAGTGGAAGCCGCAACACCAGGCCATGCCAAGCTGGTTCAAGACTGGCACCCAGGTTACAGCAATCTCAGCCATCTGGAAAAATCCCAAATGTCTGGAAGGAGATCAACGTCCTTCGCCAATTTGCCAATGTAACTGCCACCACCTTCTCTCCGACACCTCACACATTCAATCTCTGCTCCTTTAGACTGTGCCACCAAGGTTGATGCTCTGCCACTCACTGTTGTCTGCATCATCTTCTTGCTCTTACCCACTCCAATCCACGACACTATTGACACTCCATAGCCTCTGAGCTGTGTACTCACTCACTTGGAACACCTTCCTACCCTCAAAAAAAAGTAACAGCTGTGCCACCAACTTTCATCACTTATAATATCTGCCTCTCTCTCATTCTGGGAGAGAAGTGCTTACGATAGGGCAAGAACAGTCAAGATGGATTGTGGGCTGTCTGACATTTGTGGGCTTCCCAACCACTAATGTCGTGAATATCCTGACGCCAACTGCCCAAGTGGCAGACTGACCATTTCCAAGCCACTCGACTGGTATCGGAGGCTGCCATGACTTACTGGGTTGGGAAACCCTGAGCTAATGCCATCTCCCTTGACTTAACGGAGGCCTACTGACAACCATGACAAACCTCCTGCCTTTGTGGATGTGGCAATACAAGAGTTCTGCAAGCCTGGTATCTCTATGAAGGTCAAAGCACCAAAAGGCAAGGCAAATGAAGGCAGGGATGCTGTGAGCATCCAGGTAGGCTCAGAGTGGGCATGCATTTCTACAATGAGTTAAAAGCCCAAAGATTTAGCCGAGTCTAGTCGGTGAGCTGAAGATGTCTCCCAGAGTGTACACTGTCCTTGTTGCAGCATTACAATTTAATCAGTAACCCATCCTGAGGTGCAGCTTTGAAGTGGAGAAGCCACCTATAAGTTTGCCATGAAGGTTCTTAGAGGGTGGCACATATCGAATCACAATGTCTGCAATTCCCATGGCCATGGGGTGCGTGTGACTAGTGTCCAGGAAGTAGGCCCTGAAATACTGTGCGCTGTTTGGAAAGTGGAGGTACTAAGGGGCAAGTGATGAGCTGATGTTGCCAGGCACCCATGCTGATTTCTCAACATCTAGTGAGATGGAAAGCCAAATATTAATAAGGCAAGTTGGGCTGCATTAATAAGGCATCTGACAGGCTTTAATCCCCTTCATTGCCAACTTGCTGCCGCCGAGTGAAAAACTCGCCTGTTTAATCAAAAGCATAAAAGATGGTGCAAGATGCTCCAGACATCAAGATCAGCATCGGACACTGCTCAGCTGATCCTGCCACACAAATTTCACCACAGCCCACGTCACTCAGAACGTAGTAACATTCTGTCTAACGTCTGTTTCTTTATCTCCATGCTCACTTTTCACTTGCACACAGTATGCACCTTTACTGACCTGAAATGGAGCTCCAAATATTGTACTGAGACACTGATGTTTGGAAAAACTAGCATAATCTCACCATAAGGAGCATTTTGCAAGCTTGACATTTTGTTTCTCTTTTCAACACTGTCTTCATCTGTATCCAATTCCCAATTTACCAAAGATTCTGTTGCCAATATCCTGTTACCTATAAACCGTGACCCTCGCTGATTTCCTGTACCAAATGCAGTGTTTACAAAATCAATGTTCCTGGTCATCTACCCTATTGCCTATCTCCACAATCATCTCCAACCCCAAGGCTCAGACTGTGCCCACTAACGGAAGAATGCAGAATGATTCTTTGTATAGAATGGGTTAATTTTCCACAAAAAAAAAACAGCAATTAAGCAATGTCAAGTAAATGCAATAATTATTCTTATGTGACTATCCAATGACCTAACTTCAAGGCCTCAGATGCAGTATGCAACAAATATATCATATCATTCTTACCAAAAAGGTGACCACAACAACTTGGCAGTAGTGTTTCTTGGAGAAGCTGCAAAGCACACTCTTGACATTTCCCCAAAATGTGACAATGTCATTTGAATTCAAATTTGCTGCATTTAGTTTGCTGTACTCCCTTTTATATTCTCGCCATTTTCAGCTTGACACACTAGGTCCAAAGACGAAGCACACTAGCACTCAGTATGCACACCTGATCAGTGGTCTCACTGGTCTTACAAGGTGTGGTGACTGAGATTCACGAAAACCAAAGAAAGACGCCAAAAACTGCCAGGACTGTACTAACAGAAATCCGAGCACAGATTACAATAGTTCTTTTATTGATGGAAATGATGGGGCTGTGACTTGAAAAAAAAAAGCGGCCTAAAAATTGATTTAGACAAAATAATGCAGCAGAAGGTTGCTAATGCTTATCCATTTGACAGTGATTTTCTCAGGAACTATTCATTAGCTGATTGGAATACTACTATTCTGTAAAACATGAGAGAATATTTCATACAATTCATTTTGAAAGACACTAACCAGCTAAAATGCTTCAAGCCTTTTGATCAGTCCATTCAATTAGAAGCTAGACACCTCAAGGTTGCAAATGTATATAAGGGAGTCAGGATTTTGTCATGCCAATTTGAAGTTTAAAAACCCTATTGGTTGTAGAGGAGGGCATGAGAGAGAACTAAAAGGTTCCAGAATATTTGTCCTAGATATGAGCAAGTTTGAACAGCATGTAAACAGTCTTCATTTCAGCACAGTGAGGACATAGCATGAAATGAATTTGTTCAAGGAAACAACATTTCGTTACAAGATAAAATAAGTTGATTTTCTCAATTCTCCACTGTTTTTGAAGATGAAAGCTGATATTAGAATAAGATTCCTCCTCTTCTTGACTTTACCAAAAGTAGTTGGAGTATGTGACAGGAAATCTTTTTTCCCCCTCATTCTTTTTTGGTCTTTTTTTTAAAAACATAAAAAGCTTCACCTCACTGCGTATGCTGCTCGTCCATTAATTGCATTTTCCCCACTCCACTGCTTTTTCAGCTCTTTCCCATTCTATTTAGCTCACATGCTTTGTACCACCTCCAACTGATAAATCAAGTGACCAGATCTCAGGTGTCTGCTAATGCTGTTTCTGAACCAAGTACTGACAGACAACGTATGGTATCTGTGTTGTGCATTGTTTCTGTTGTACAGGACTGAATGCTTTACCTGCATCCAACATCTCCACCTGATAATCCTAACAACATTAAAAGCAAGTTGATTAAGCATCTGTAGCTTAACAGACTTGGAATATAGTGACTTCTGTAAAGGAAACTGTGATTTCAAATCTACCAAAGTATTCAGAAGCCTGTTATCCCTCTGCAAATGCAATCTCCTTATGCCCCAGGATCATAAGCCCGATACTATCTAATACCATCAGGTTAGAAACTGTACTCCCTTTTTCTCCATGAATAGCAAATGCACTCTTCAAACTAAAATATAGCCAGGGACAACAATATATATTTCTGGTTGATTGTGAGGGAGTTCATTTGTATTTGGCCAATTCAATGCAGCTGTTAAATATCAACTTACATTTATCATAATTTTACAACTGTGTGAAGAAAGTATCAGCAAGTTCTTTCACTGTGCAATGGCAATTGGGTTATTTTATCCTGTTTTGACTAGATGACTTAAAAAAGATTCATGACAATTGCTAGATTCTCAATACTCAAATCTTTTTCCTGCTTTTCTTTCATCTTTTGTTCTTTGTCTGCCAAGAAAATCATCCATCTTTCCTATTATTGACAAAATTCTTTTGAACTGCAAGCTTGTTTTTGTGTTTAAAAAAAAATCATAAATTTTAAATGAATGGCAGCATATGGCACAGCCTGCTAGTGTTGATTGACTGCTTTTGTAATAACTTAATGCCCTGGCAGCTCTCTCCCGTGTCACTTTACAGAATCTGAATAGTCATTTTGTTTGAAATCACAAGCCATGCCACTGTTTTGGAAATTTCAGTATCGACACTGGAGATGTCTAACATTTCCTTCTCTCTTCGAGGCAACAGGAAGGCTGATCTGGATTGTGCACACTCTAAGCTCCTATTTACATCAAAGCACAAATTTGACAATATTACATCTGTGCCATTCAACATTCGGGCCAAAATATGTTGCAGCGTCCTGTTAAAGGAGCAAGATATTTTAGCAAAGATGCGCACATCATTCTGTGACCAATCCGAATCCTGAAAAGCTATTCTGTGCACCAAAGTCCATAGAGTACACACTGTTTTTTCCTCTGCCGCCTGAAAATCCATGGTAACAATCTGCATATATGAAAACAGGTCACAATGAGCAAAAACAGAACAGATCTCACTCCATGAGCTTTGATTGTAGTGATGAGCCCTGTTGGCTCATGTTCACCTTTGAGAATGCGGGCGGGGGAAGAAGAGAGAGAAAGCTCCAGCAAAACAGGCAACTTCTATTGTAAAAAAAAAAATGAATAGCGAGCGCAATAAGTTTTAAAATCTTACGCCCTGGAAAAAGAAATGTACGAAAGTTACGACGCTTTTTTTGGGGGGAAAAAAACAGGGAAAATCCCACTTCACAATACCTGCAGTTGCAATCCAGCCTCTCGGTAATACCCAGAAGGAAGCACACAGAGATTGTGTTGTAGTTTGACAGAGACACTGTAAGCCATTCGATGTAAACATTCAGGAGTAAGAAGGCAGGAGGGGATAAAATCATCACCGTATCTTTTTTTCTCCTCTCTGTATAAATATAACATTGATGCTCAGCGGCTACATTGGAGTACAATGGAAGCTCCCGCCCTCTGCCTCCTCCCGCTTCCCCATTGGCTACTGGACCCAGAATCCTGCCGCCCCATTGGATTAGACAGATGCTAGTCATTGTCCACGCGCGTTCTCAGCAACCAGGCTGCACAGCTGGAGCTGCCTCTTGCTTGATTGCTCCAAGGGTCAGGGGCGGAAGAGAAACAAAACGGGAGGCTTGCATTGTCCTTAATGTTGACACATAGAATTGGAGAACCATGCCTTCTTTCATTATGCTTGATGTAAGTTTTATTTTCACGACAAGAGGGGGCTGTCTCTTTTACCTTGCACTCAGTCCAGGATCCAGATTTGGCAAAAGGTTCACAGATTTAGGAGTTTTGCAGATTAATCTGGATTGTACTTTTTTTTTCCAAAAAAATCACCTCACCAACCATTCAGCCAAATGTCTTTCCAGCCATTCAGTCCTGCTTGGTCCTGAATTTAAGTTTCGATTGCACATTGCATCTATTTGTGCTTTTATTTTTTGTTAACAAAAGTGTCTTAACACTTCAAATTATAATGTTGGACTGTCCCTTTCACCCACACGGGGAGATATTTTGGATGTTGCATTTCAAACATTACTGTTCAGACCTGCACAAGGAAACCTCAATGGAAGTGAAAGAAATAGGACGTGACGATTTAAAAAAAACAGAATTGACCCACTAATACACCCTGCTTTATATTCAAGGACATTAAAGAGCATCAAAGTATATTCAGACTCCCTGTGAATTTCTCCTGGTGCAGACTCCATTAAATCAGATGTGGTACCTTTTTCTAAAGACAAAGATAATTACACAGAAAAATACAATAATACTGGATTTCGGGGCAAACTGGGAATCAGGTCAGTGCAGTTTCTTGGGCTATACTCACTAACTGACAGCTGCATGCCTCCAACCCATCCCTTTCCAGCAAGATTTGGGGGAGGCCGAGATAATTTAGGCAGATCAAAACCATGGGGTGCAGAAACCGCTTGCTGGCACCGAGGTAAATCCAGATGAAAGGAGACAGCAAGCTCATTGCAAGGCAATCTGAGGTCCATTTATCTGACTAGTCCACTTGAACGGTCCTGTCCTCCTGAGGCAGACAAAGAAAGATTTTTAACTAAACACAGAGTCTTTTGTGTTGTGGTCATCTAATACAATGGGCTGTTAAAATTTTGTTGGGGTCAAAGTTATACCATGATTCAGCAGTTTCATCTGAATTTTTAAAAAGTGCACAGTTAAACCTTTGTACATATATTTCAACTTTATTCCCATCTTGTTCAAAATCAATGTGGTAACCTGTAATCTCTCTACAAAAACTGCTGAAATAATCGTCTTTTGCCAACTGCAGGATGGATCAGATTTTAACTAAACACGGGTGACTTAACTCCTGTTCTGACTAAAGATCAAACCTCTGGCTTTTCGGTGGGAGACCAATTCAGAGCCTGCAGATGTTGTGTCTTTCATACATTCTGCACCTTGCTTTTGTGTTACTAACTCTGCTGAATTAGCTGATTATCACCAAGGGTAGCAGTTGTGGCCCTGAGATTTTTTTCCCTCATCTGAGAGCAAAAGAACTGAAAAATAAACCACCTCCATTCCCTGTTGCTCAATTGGATATGTGTATCTAACTGGTTGAAATTAAACTTGGTTTTGCTCTGGAATAGTCTACTCACTAAACCATCTGAGTCAAATAATGGAGGGCTGAGATTTCCCATGGAACTGTTACCCCCCAAGCAGAAAGGAAGACAGACTTGCATTGATATTCGTGACCTCAGGTTGACACAAAGCGCTTTACAGCCAATCATTTTTGAAATATAAGAAAACACCTGAAAGGAATTGAAAAATGGTAATAATAAGAACCAGAAATAAAAACTCAAAATACTTCAAATTAACATTTTGTTATATTTTATGAGAAAAGTGGTGAGAATTTTACATAAATCCTTTTCATGGGAGACATTATCTTGTCTTTTTTTGGAATTCACTCAGTGAATTCCTCTCCACATTGAGCTTTATCTGTTTTTACTTGCTATGCAGCTTGCACTTTTCTCATACATAAATGCAGATGTACACATTTAAGATTGTCAATGTTCATCCTGTGTTGTCTTTTTGCAACAAGGATAGCGAAGTGGATTAACACTGTATGTGCTCTGCTCTTCTGAGTTCAGCATTGCTGATAGTTCTGTGTATAAAAATGGGTGTTCCTTGTCCCCATCAGGATCTTCAATTAAATAAGATGAGAAGGGCACAGTTGAGGGTGAATGGAAGCCACAAAGAAATAGACTGATGAAAGAAAACAAAGAGTAAATTTGAAGTGGCAGGACAAAGCAGCAGCAATTGTTGTTGGAAACTAAATGTCTGTAGGAAGCCGAAACATCAGCCTTCCTGCTCCTGTGATGCTGCTTGGCCTGCTGTGTTCATCCAGCTCTGCACCTTGTTATGTCTGTAGGAAGGAGGCTTCTCTGAAATAGGTTCATAGCTGGCATAGCCATACAATGAAAACATTCTCTCTTTCCACATTCTGTACCTTGCTGTGATTATTCTGACAGGCATGTACAACATAAAAGCCCGTAAAGTTGGGACAGAAGAATGTGTGGAGATGAGGTGGGTGGAAGAAACATTGCATCCTTCCAGCACCTGACTAATATCATGACCTGCTGCACCTTAGATATTCTTTCTTCAGTATGTTCTTTGGATTCTTGTCTAACTTTGTCTTGAATTTGCTGGTACAAATGGGTCCCCCTGCCTCACAGTGCAAAGTTGTGAAATCATTCTCACTCTCCTAAGCTTGAAAATCCAACCGATCAGTGTTGAAAATTTTAAAGATGTTGAGATTTAACTTGCCAGTACACTTTGTGGGTACAATACAAACATTGGAACAAGGAACAGGAATAGGCCATTCAGCCTCTCGAGCCTACTCTGCCATTCAATAAGATCATGGTTAATCTGATTGTAGCCTCAAATTCATATTTCTGTCTACCCCTGACAGTGGACATCTGTCTCCTTCTGTCTTATAAATATTCAAGGACTCTGTTCCCACAACATTTTCAGCAACAGAGTGCCAAAGACTCGTGACTCTGAGAGTAAAAAAAATCAGCTCATCTCTGTTTCCAAAGGGCAAGCTCTGCTGTTTAAACAGTGACTCCTAGTTCTAGATTCTTTCGTAAGGGGAATCATCTTCTTCAAACCCATCCTGTCAAGACCTTGTCGAGATCTTCTATATTTCTATCAAGCCTCTTGCTCTTGAAACATCAGCTTTCCTGCTCCTCTGATGCTGCTTGGCCTGCTGTGTTCATCCAGCTCTACACCTTGTTATTCCAGTGGAGGCAAGCCGAGTTTGTCCAACCCTTCCAAATAAGAAAACCTCTTCATTCTGCATATTAGTGAAGTAACATTCTCTAAACTGCTTCCAATGCGTTTGCATTCTTCCTTTAAATAAGGAAGAAAACTGCACACTGTACTCCAGATGTGGACTCACCAGTGCCATGTATAACTGAAGCAGAAGCTCATTCCTTTTGTATTCAGTTCTCCTCGTTACAAATGATAGCATTCAATTCATTTGCTTGATTACTTGGTGTACCTGCAAGCAAACCTTTTGTGATTTTTGCTCAAAGACACTCAGAGCTCTGCAATGCCTCAACGTTTAGATAAAATGCTGGTTTTTTCCATCTGTCCTGCTAAAATTGGCAATTTGACATTTTGATGATTCTGGTCCCTTCCCTGTCTAGTGCAAGCATCACCTACTTCAGCATTTCCTTGAAACTCAAGTATAGACAAACCAATGAAGTGGGCACTTTAACAGCTTCTGGCTGCTCCCTCTCCAAAGCCCATATTTGATACACGTAGTATGATGATTAGAACTATATACAGTACGCTGAGTGATCCTAAATAAAAAACCTGAACACACTCAGCACCTCCTGGAGATTTGTGCTCTAATCCTCTGGTTGCACAAGCCACGATCCCATTTGCTATCTTAACTGCTGTCACACACCACACTGATGCTTCAGCAAGCTATCTGCCAGCAACCGCTAATCCCCTCTCTTGTTTACTGGCCTGGAGAATAACACCATTTAGCTTGCATTGCTGTGTACAGGATGCTGAATAAAATCGGTAATTCTGACATGATACTGTATTCTGTTAGGTCTTAAGTTAATACTTTATTACCATTTCTGAGGTACCATTAGAAATTGATAGCTGCTCATTTTGAGAAAGGAACTCTTCATCAAATATAAACACTTTGAACAGCAATTATTTATTTTTACAAGTGGTGCTGGGTTGGGGGTACCAGGGGCAGGATGGTTATGTCATTTTGTAAGCACAGTTAAATTATTGATCCTGGATAGTACATTTGGCTGACAGAGTGGCTATTAATGCATGGCTGAAGCCAGAATTGCTATAACAAACTCAACTGCCACAGGTCAATAATTACATCACTATCTATCCTACTGGTCACAATGAATCATCCCAGCAGAAGGAATATCAAGCTGATTTAATCATTCAGGCATACTCATGCTTCATTCAGCATTTGGTACATGTTTTTTCAACATTTGAGATTGTATTTGGAAAAAATTAATTTTTGTTTGTAATTTGAAATGCACTCCCATAACTTTTGACAGCAGAGTCCAGAAAAGGATCAGGACGGGATTAATGAAAAGAAAAATAGTTGCAGAAGTTCTGCAAACACTGTAAACTAAGCACTTTTTTACAAAATGAAATTGAATAATTTCACAAGTTCTGGAGTGTTCAGCACGCAAGACATGAGCCTGGAGAAGGTGGTGTGAGCTGCCACCTTGAGCTACTGTGATCCATGTGGTGGAGGGACAACTGTTGTCTGTGCCATTCTCGGAAGTTGACCAAAAGACAGTGATGGAAGGATGATGTGGTTTCAAGTCAGGATGGTGTGTGGCTCAGAGGGGAATTTGCAGTGGTGGTGTCCCCAGTCATTGGCTGCCTTTGTCCCTCTCCTGTGTTTAGAAGGT